ATTTTTCTTTTTGTTTTGCAATTTTATCTGGAGTAAAAAACTAAAATGTCAAATTCTAAAAATCAGAAAAATAATTGACAGTCTTCCTGATCAACATCTCTTTCATATTTTTTCTCCTCATGTTTGTTTTCTATTATAAAAACTTCCATTACATTCTCAAATTTTGACCTTTTTAATTGATGTTGCTTGGTAATGTTCAGAGAACAATCTGACTCAAATATTGAAAAAAGAAACAATACAAGCAAGCACAAAGGTCTGGAATTATTAAGAAGTGTGGTCCTTTACAACGCCTTTCCTACAGTGATCTTAATATCTACTTAGAGTGTTGACTGCTTTTTTTTCACATATCATACTTTCACAAAAATGACTAATATGTTTCAATATTGTGTCAACTTGAACTCTGCAAAAAAACTTCTTATATGCCAAAGTGTGGAAGAGAAGAGATGAGCTTATGGCTTTAAATAATCGACAAAAGGTTGAGAAGCCATAAAATACAAATTGATCAATCTTACATGCCAGAGGTATTGTTCAGTGATATTCTTTGATATAGTTAATGTGATGCATTGATAACAAATAAAAGTCTAGGCATGAAGGAGAGCTTTATATGGTGCTGTCCATCTTTTCATAAGAGCAACAAATTATCACTGCATGACTCCTTTTTTTTTATATATTTTCAAACCTTATTTTCTGACCAGTAGGCAAGATATAACAACATCACTTGCAGACTCGTACATGTTCGTATCTGACTGAATTAAAAAATAGAAACTTCACTTTTTAATTCTTAATAAAAATGGGTGTCATTACTGTAATTCACTTAAATCAGTCATCAGTCTCTCCCAAATTGTAACACAGAAGCCTCCTTTCTTTTCATCATTTTTTCACAATTTTCTCCCTTTGAGTATTGGGTATTACTGGGGTATCACCAGTGACTTGTTGATACAATTAGCTTTTCAGCATATATCTTTTCATCTTATTCATGTATACATTATGATTTTAAGCCGTCTTTTCAAATAACAATTTACAATTTCTAATTTCATAGCTTTTCTGTTTTGTCTTTTTGTAGTTTTTATATGTAAGCCAATCCTTTGCACCTTCTCTTGATACTCCTGTTGGAACTTTGTTTGATGTAAGTATCACCTTTTTGGTTTGTTTTTTATAGCAAGCACACAAGACAAAGCTCTTTCATTGTACTCACCCATTTGTCTCTCATTTCTGTTCATTTATTAACTTTTATAAAAGTATATATTTTCACATGATGCTGCATTATGAACAAAAATTCTTCTTGCTATAGTTCAATTTATATTTTCTATGCTATAGAAACAAATTTCAAATAACAATACTGGCAAAATTTGAGTTAAAAATTAAATTTATGATAAATAAACAAAAATTAGTGCAGATATCATCATCAGATCCTCAACTGCTTTAGTCATCAGGATTGGGGACCTGAGGGCAGAAGAAACAGACTTTGATTCTTCTTCCTCATGATCCTTTCAGTGGACTTTCAAATAACTTGACAGCACCTATCTCCTCTCCAACTATACAAAATTACATTTCTTAATAAAAAAAAATTGGAAGAAGTGTTAGAGTATTTACTGGGAAGTTATGGTTAGCATTGTCTTGCAAGTCATTAAAAGTGCGGTCATTCCCCATTGGGTGCTCTATGACTGTGACTTGTGTCAAAGTTGTCTTTACTCGGCAAATACATATAAAAACACCTATTGCTTCATCGCATTGGAAAAGTATTAAACTTAATTTTCTTTCTAAGATCTTCAGTTATAGGACTTCTCTAATTATCTTTCATGATTTTGTTTACATAAATATGAAAAGCAATTTTCTGCAGTGGATTATGATTTTAATAAATGTAAATTTTATAGAGAAATCAAACACCTAATAGTCATTCTATGTGGTTTATGAAACCATGAAAAATGCAATTTTTTTGTAGGCAATTAAACTTTATATGATTATAAACTGGTAAAACACGAGACCATGTTGTGCTAAAGAAAAGAGTCATAGAAAAGAATCACTTCTCACTATTTTAATTTGTGAAAGACAAATGTGAAAGAATTTAGATCTTGTCAATTTCACATTAATTTTTCAATATTTCTCTTTAGTTTCTTTTTGTTGGTCCCATACTCTGAAGATCATTGGGATTCTGAATTCTAACCAAAAATTAAAACAATTAAGTAATGTTATTGAAACCAGCAGTTAATAAATTGTATATACTGCCTTGGCTTTTATTGAAATTTATCACAAAAATAAACATTGATTTAACTTTTGTTTTAATCTTCTCATATAACTTGATTTCATCCTCAGACATTAATAGGCCAAAAGCTCTCAAACTGTTGACTTTCAATCATTAAAGATAGCATGTTAAAATGAATCTCATTTTGCATTCTTAATTCTGTATGTCATGAAAATAATAGCAAAAATGAAAAGAGAAACTGTATGAATATAAGTATTTGTTTAAATTTCATATTTGAAGTCTTTAATTTTAAAAAGTATCAATTTTTGATGGGGTGTTATTTGTAAAAAAAATTAGCTAAGAAGCTTGTGTTTTCTCAGAATGGTTATATCTTTGAACAGTTTCAACTGACAAGGTTTAAGTTGAAAACATTTGAAAATGGAATTTGTTGTGAATTGCAAGAAAATTTTCTGTTTGAAACTGAATTTAAAGGATACTATTTCTGTATTTACATAGTTTTAATAAAATTGAACTTGTTCAATGTTTTAAATATGTAGTGTTTATTGCTAACCCTTATAATAACTGTTAGAGTTAATTATGTTTTTCTTCAATTAGCTTTGACATGAAATTAAATTTAGACAACTCAAACAATAGCTATTAATAAACTTTTATGACAAATAACATCATTTTTTTATTTTTTTGTTTTTTTTAACTTTCTACTTCTTTTCTGTTACAGTGTTATGGCAGTGATGGAAAACTTGTGCTGCATTATTGCAAAACAGCAGCCTGGGGCTAAGGCCATATACACTTATAAGAGAGGTCCTTCCACCAAAATCTACAGGAAAGAATAAAGTAAAGATTTGCTGATCACAGAGGTTCATTCTCATTGCTTATGGATTCTAACCTAAAGGCAATGCAAATGCTCAGATGAACATGTTCTCTCATCTTTACTTGAAAACTGATTTCATTTTGTTGATTCTGCTAATCATTCTGGCTTGCAGCCAAAACAGATTTTGTTCCACTATCTCAACATTTTGATCATTAATTCTTTCAGTATTTCAAATTTTTCCAATGAAGTTTTCCACTTTCTGTCTCCTTCCCCATAATGTTGAATGGTGTCTCTTTGTTTTAGTAAGCTTTCATATAAAATCTAGAATGGTTTTGCTATTGGAGCTAACAGAAAAAAGTAACAAGAATATATGCATTTTTTTTATTCTCTACCTGCCCCACTTTGAGATGGAGAAAAAAAAACTTATCTTCTTCTTGGATTCTCTCCAAAGAAATCAAGTAAACTTATTTTGATTCTTTTATTTCATATTCTTTTCTAGAGCAATTTAAATTATCTGGGATCATTTTTTTTCTTGTCTTTTAGCCTGATGTATGGAAACTGCTTTGAGGAATGATATTTCTCAAATGGAAATATTTCCAGTTGATAGAGAAAAATAAAACTTGATAGAACAAACACCCCAACCCACCCCAACAATCTGTCCATTTACTAAATGGGGAGGCAATGTTGATAAGATTTGTGGATTGTGATGAAAATAAATTTTGACTTTGCATGTTCACAAGAAATGTGATAGAATCCTTGTATGTAAATTTTAAAATCTCAGTTGATTGATGAGAGAAAAAATGAGAAATGTATAATAAATTAAACAGCTGATAACTTAAAGTGTGTTTATTCTGTTCTTTCAAGCTTCATTTGTGACAGGAATTTATTTTTTCTGAAATCTTCAGTTACTTTTGAAGGTTTCTTTGAGAATGACATGTGAGTTTTGTTGTCATTTCCTTCACAAATTATCCTTACCCAGAGATTAAACTGTAAACTGACAGTCAGTTTCTCATTACCATATAATGCTGTGGTCATATTTTAAGGTGCAAATTTATTATAAATATCACCTGATCTAATTTGAATAAATTTGTGAGAATTATTTTTGTATTGTCTACATATGTTAGAACTGATCTTAATGCTAGTGGTTAGAATATGAAAAATAAATCTATAAGAATAAATGAATGAATGACAAGGATGTTTCGTGGTCAATGTAAAATTAATACTTCTGTTTAAATTTACAAAAATACCATTGGCATAATTCATCAAGGAGAGCTTCTGATAATAGGTTTCCCTTTCCGACCAATTCAGACTTTTGTGGCTTTTTGCATGGAAGTTGTATCTAGAAATTTTCTTTTTATAAAGTTGAATTCTTAAAAATGTCAGTAATCATTTAAAAAATGTGTGATATATATTTTTCATTTGTTAAAATCTGAATATTTTTGAGATATTTATAGATAAAAATTTTTCTTACATTTTGTTCATTAATGAATCTTGTCATTTGGCATGTTTTGCATAAGTTGATATTCTTATATTAGTGATTATGTTCATCTAGTTAAGAGTTAAGTTTTAGTTTTGTGTTGATGCTAATTTTAAATTTTGACTTCAAGTAAATTTTTTTTTTTTTAGATTTTTCATTTGTTTTTTCCAGATTAAGCCTGCCAGCCATCATGAAATATTTGAAATATTTGTTAAAATGGTTAAAAATTAAGCCAAGCCTTTTGGAGTTGCTTGAATACAAATCAATTAAGATGGGTGGTGGGGTTTGGAGTGCAGCAGATTCTAAATAATTTAAACTTTAACCTTGGTTGACCATTTGGTTTTGGCCAGAAGAATCGAAATGAATATGACTAAAAGCAATTGAGAAAGTTCAGTTTTTATTGTGCAAAACTCTAATAACAATTCCTGAATATTAGAAACAGTGAATGTCATCAATGAAATTACATGAAATATAATAGTTTTAGTTTTCTAATTTCAGCTTTTTTTTTTTTCTTAAGATTCACTTTTGATTGGATATGCCCAGTGTAAGATGGCACCATCTTCTCCAACACTGATGATAAATTTTTGATCTGGGCTGATTTTGACTCGCTTGATGCTACCTCCATGTCCAATTCCCACAAAAATCACATTGCCTTCATCATAATTCCACATCTGAAAATTAATAAAATTCATATGTAAATTCCATACAAAAATCTAGGAATTATTCTACACAGTCAAAGGCTTTGAAACATTAATTTTGGATAATCTTAAATTTAAAATTTGTAAGGAATAGTACATTGTTTTCACATTAAGAAAAAAATTCAGTTTTCCAATCTTTTTTTTTTTCTATCTTAATATTTGGTAATATTTTCCTAACTTTTTTGAATTGTATAAAAAAAACTGTTAAAAGCAAATGCAAAATCTATCTGATTGACTTTGGATTTTATGTCAGAATTTTCAGTTTGAGCCAGCATGTTCATATTGACTGTTATACTTACAATGCTTTACCTATTGTACCCTCTGGCTTTCTTCAGCTCAGAATTTTGAACTGAGCCTTTTATTCAGTCCACAGATTTAATAGACTGTTCTCATTTTGCTTTCAGTGCTTTTGTGAATATCTAGTATCAGTTAATTCTCTAGTCTATTCCCTTTGGTGTTGCGTGTCTGTTTCTTCCACACTACTCGAGCCATGGATTGAACTCACAACTGGCAGGAAACCAGATATGCTTTAGCCAATGCTTTAATCCTCTAGGTTTTGTGTCTAAGGTTTTTGACAAATAGATGAGAAAGAATTAACTCATACATTATATGCTCTAAGCATAGAAAGCAGAATGAGAACACTACCCAAGTGAATTAAATAAAGAGTTTAGTTCAAAATTCTGAGGTTATTGAGTACAATAGCAAGGCATATAATAATGATTTAAGGTTTTTAGTTTTTTTTTTTATTAGTATTTCCTTCATCTTAATATTTCAGTTTGTTTTTATCCCAACACTCATACTACAGTTATAAGTAATTAGGAAGGGAGATAAAGAATGACCATTTGAATATTGCAATAAAAAGTGAAGGAAATTAAGATGAAAGAAATATTAGTCAAAAAATTAATAATTGACAAGGATTAATTCAAAATATTAAAAAGTCCTATAAGACTTGAGGAGGGGTTCACTTTGGCAATCATATTTTGGCATGATATCAAAGATAAGACCAATTAAAAGTACTGTGAGTTTTGTAAAATGATTAAACATCCTTTACTTTTATGTAACATTTTGTTTTCTACAACAGATGAAAATGATTTACAAATAACACTTTGTGACAGAACATTTTTAACATTTATGTTAGCATGACTGAGGACGCCATGCTAAATTCATAGGTTCAGCAGCTCAAGGGAAATTTTTTCTGATTTGACCTCAATACAAAAGTAGTTTGAATAAAACAACTTGTTCAATTTGAGTTCTTTCTATAAATTTCAAGAATAAATTGTATAGAGCAGAGCTATGTTTCAACTGCTTGTATCGTGATTAAGTGTTTAACTATGATTGCAAAAATATGTTGAAAATGCTATGAAAGACCAAATAACAGATTTACACTAACCTTGAGAAGATGATCATCTCCACCAGTAATGAAGTATTTCCCATCTGCAGAAATATCCAGAGCATTGATAGATCCTGATTTGGCCCCTTCCAGTGACCGGATCTGCAGACCATCAACAACTTCCCAATAAGCCACATTTCGATCTGTTCCACTGGTTAATATCTGACAGCAATCAGGGTGGATGCAGGCACATTGGAACAATGTGTTTGCAAATAATACAGCATCACGTTGGAATTTTCTGTAAGAAAAATTAACAGTAATAAATTGGGGCTACAATGCACAGTAGTCCAGAAAGAACTTCATTTCTATCTTTTTTTTCTTTTTTTTTTTTTTTTTTTGTTTAATCATTTCACCCCAAGCAAAGGGATAAAGTCACTATGATGCAAGGGGTTACTGAGTGAAGAAAACTGAGAAGGGATAATAAAAAGATCAGGATTCAAGGAGACAAGATGATGATTAACATTGCATTTAATTTTTTAAAGATTGTAGTTGATAGGAAAGCAAGAAGCTGGAAGGGAGTTTATTATTAAACTAGCCTAGAAACTGCCTTCAGACAACTTTAGGGTAACTTCTACAGAGGGCTTTTGGGCCTTCACCCTTTTACCTTCAGCATCTTAAATATGTAAAAGTTTTAAGAATTTAGAAATAATACAATTATTTTATCTTTATTCAACACCTTAATTCAGCATAATTTTTCCTCGTATCTGTAACTGATCTTTGTAGTTTACATTTATTTTGTGTCCAATTTTTATTTTCTTTTAAAGTCACCATTCTTTCTGATCCCTTAATATAAAGTCACTCCTTAAATGACATTAGGGAACCCGAACTATGTAATATTTCAAATATGTCACAGTATGTGTGCTAGAAAAAGAAAAAACTATATGAGCAATGTACTGTGCCCTACTTGAGTTTTAATTATGGTTTAATTAGACGATTGCAGTTGCGATGAAAAGTGAAATTAAAGTTAAACCTTTAATAAAGAATTGTTTTTTAAAACTTTCACTCTGTCTGAAATGAGTTATTTATCTAATTTTTAATCACATGTAACTACTGTAGTTACTACCTATTACTTGAGGTTGTTTATGATTCTCCAAGATTGAAAAACAGATGGATAGACAGACAGATGTACACTATGCTTTATTATTATAGATATATATATATATATATATATATATAATATTAATTTGAAGAAAAACTCTTCAGGCAGATTTTAGGTTAGTAAAAAATAATAATGCTGTAAATAATTGATGAATATTAATACTTCTATTGTTTGCATGATTAGCGTTTGTATGAATGTGAATGGACCAGTGAGCTAAAGTGTGTATTATGCATGTGTGCATGTGTAAATTCCAAGATCGGAAAATGGATGGACAGACGGATGTGACACCCATACAGTGTGTTTTATTATTATAAAAGTTCTTCATATGGAGAAACGTTTGATTTTTTGAGAGTTTATGTATGGATTTAATTAATGCTTTATATATGCTTCTAGTTAGGATTGTGTGTGGTGACACTGAATAATATTTGTTGATAGAACAGTGATTGTAACATTGGCTCTTATAGAGAAAGAATGATTTCATTTTAATCTATTGCATATATAACTAATATCTAGAAAATAGTCACCATATAATGCTATCAAAACTAATTTTGTTAATTCTTTTGTAGAAAAGTAACTGAAATATTTTGTCCTTTGAAGATTAAAACATTTCAGTTTAAAATGCCACACAGATTTTCTTTCTGTTAAAAGCTTTCCTTGTATATCTGACTTATTGTCTAGAGCAGTGCTTCTTAAACTTTTTCATTCATGATCCCATTTTTCATCATGAGATTTTCACAACCCCAGGTATTGATCAACTATACTAGTTGCAATGGTGCGACATATGCATTTTATTACCACAGCATTTGCATGGCGCATCACGTTAAATATTGTGCATTTGTGGAATAACACAAACTGAAAATCAGGTGTTTGAATTTAATTTTTGCCACCCCCAGCATTTTGCTTCATGACCCAAAATTGGGTTGCAACCTATAGTTTACGAAGTGCTGGTCTAGAGCAATGGACTGGAGTTAAGTACACTGAAGTTTTTTGCTAGGAAAAAAAGAATAGTCTGTTGGGAAGTCAGGAGAGATATGGCTACCTGTAACTGTTTGTCTTTTGCAAAATCTGTTACATTAAAAAAACAAAACCAAAAAATATCAATCATGTTTGGTGAGCAAACAATAAAATTTCATTGATTTTAATGTTTATTTAGATCCAAATATTTGAGCAAGATGTAAATAAATGCTGAAATATTAATAGAATCAATTATATTTTCTTGTTTGTTAATCCTAAGATTCTATAAACATGTTTTACAAAGTTTTTTCACTTTTTATTTCAAATAATATAAATATGTAAATAACCTTCAACAGAAAATAAAAATTTTGAATCCACATATTTTTTCTGTTTAAGCATAACATTGATATATTCAGTGGCATATCTAGGGTGTGACAAGTATGGCATGTGCTGTGGGTACCCATTAGAGAGGTGTTATGACCCTACTGAACAAATAATTTGTAGTGTAATATTCATCATTAATTAGTCATTAAGCACTAAATCATCTGACAACATTTGAGATTGCAGAATGCTTATGTCGAGTCAGTATCAAATTATCAAGATTTGAAGAACTTCTAAAATTTATTGTTCTGTATGGAGAGGAGTGTAGGTTCCTAATCTTTGTATTTGTTCAACTTATGTTAACAATTGTTATTTCCATAGTGGGCTTGTGAGAGATCTTTCAGTAAGCTGGAGCTCTTACTTGAGAGCATTGATGGACCAAGCTAGATTGTGTAACCTAGCATTCCTGAATGTGGAGAGAGAAAAACTGAAAATGATGACTTTGCAGACAAGATTGACAAATTTGCATCAGTGAAAGCAAGGAAGATGAAATTTTAGACCTAACCAGCACCTTCATTCATTGCTTTCATTTTCTTAAAGTTTTTGTGCAATAACTTATTAAAATTTATCTTCTTGTGGTGCTATTATACTTTCAAAATATCTCAATGAAAAATTTAAGATTATTAAAAATATTCATCTTGTCACGGAGCATTTTATTGATATTGAAACACTAAAAGATGATTTTGTAATGTCATAATGTTTTAAACAATTATTTTCTTCTTGTGCTGTTATATCAAATTTTATTATTTTTTTCTCAAAAATGTAAAGGACAAAGAATGTTTTCTTATAGTCTGCAGTCATGAACTTTAAAAGATTTTGTTTTAATGATAATTCTCTTGCCATAATTTTGTAAAAGAATACATTTATGTGGTACCATTATATTGTCAAAATTTAAATTCCCTTTAAATAAAATATAAAAGAATATGTTGATATATGAATATGTTGAAGTAGCATAATTTATTATATATGAGATCTGATCATAAAGTATTGGGACTGTTGCTATGGTAATGGAGCTAAAATATGCAGAGTGTAGCCACTATACACAGACTGAACTCTGTCACATGCACACACACACTTTCTCGCTCACTTCTGTTGTTTATAGCAGTACTTGGAAAGAAAATGTGTAGAGTGTGGTCATCTTACCACACCACGGAGCTTCCATCATTGTGAAGCAGTTTTTGGACAAGTACAACATTCCCTAGATCCAACAACCACCATATTTCCTAAATCTTGCACCTTGTGACATTTTCCTCTTCAAAAATCAAACCCCAAGGAACAGGATTTCAAGATGTCGAGGAAATTCAAGAGAATGCAATAAGACAGCTGCTTGCTATCTAAAAAAAAAAAAGAAGTTCCAGGAATGCTTCCATCAATGGAAACAATGCTGGATAAAGTCTTACTTCAGAAGGGGACTACTTTGAAGGAGATTAAATGACAAATTGATGTGTTGTAGTTTCCTTTTTATAACACCAGTCCCGATATTTTTGATCAGACCTCATATATTATTTTAATGGTCATGACTAGTAGGTCTACTTTGGTAGGGTATCAGATGTTAAGATAGTGGTGCAATTTTGGTGCTTTGCTTTCCAATTTTTTTTCCAAATTTTCCTGAATGTTTATTTTATCAGTTGTGTTAAAAAGTTTGAAGTCAAATGTTTATTTATTTTTACTCACTCCAAGTTCCAAATGATACAAGTGCCATCTGTGCTGACTGATACGCAATGCTGGTCAGTGGGGAAGACCTTGATTTGAGTGACGCAACCCTTGTGTTCTTTCATGGATTCAACAAGTCCTGTTTTGATTACATCTTTCTTGTGAGTGTAGCCTGTACTCACCTCCCACACTCTAACCTGACCTTCTCCCCCACCACTAACGATACGTTTGGCATCAGACATGAATGCGATAGACGTCACTCCACGATTGTGTGCATTTTCTATTTGGTACATTATTTTGCCACTCTCTGGGTAGTAACCTCGGATGCGTCCATCATTCCAAGCTGCAAATAAGGAAAAAAGAATATCAAATAATTTGAAATGTAACTTTTATTGATAAAAAAACAAGCCAGTGATGTGTTGGCTATACAAATATTTAAAGCAAAATATGAAAGGGAAAAATAATTAAATCTGTAATTGGAACAATAAAATTAGATAAATATATTTTTTCTGTATAAAAATAAATAAAAAACATTTTCCTATATTTTAGTCAAAGGGTATAAAACATGTAACAAATTACGCATCACTTATTTCGATTAACCCGTTACTTAGAATGATTACTTTGCTACTAATGTAAATGTAAAATGTCTTAGTTGGCAATAATATCAGTGACAATAAGAATGCACTGTTGATTATTTACTGCTAATTTGTTTAAATAATGTACTGAATATTGCATCACAATAATTGTAAGTAAAATGCAGCTCTAAAATGAGTAACTAATTAATCAATTTACATTCTCTGAATATCAGTGACTATAAAAAATGAGTGAAGTAGTAGTATCTTCATCATTTATTCATTTATTTATTTTACCTACAATTTTTAATACTTGATGAAATATTTGTACATTTTTACTTGACTAGGGGGAAAAAAACATTGGTTGCCTCTCTTACATTAATTGGTCTTTTAACTGGAATCAGTCATGTTTTGCCTAAAGATGAGATATTGCAAATCATATAAACCTGGTCCTATGCAGTAACTTTCCTGACACCTGTGGCAAGGGCTAGTGAGACTGGGCTATTTTTGACACTACCCATACATGGGTGTAGGGTACCCACATTATGGCAAATTTAAATCATATTTGCCCTTGTGGAAGCATGAAAAGTAAACCCGTACAATAGAAAAAAAATAAAGAGAAAAATTTACATATCACCGAGTATTTGTTGATACAGTGCCATTTTTTAGCCTAGTAATTTTTTTATTCAAGAAAAATTACAGATAAAATAAGAGAATGTTATACTAAAAGATAATTTCTGTCTGAATTTCAAGGATGAGGATCTAACACAAGAATTTGAACAAGAATCGTCCTTTATCCATACAAGACTTTTTCTTTATTGATTTATCAAAACAAAGCCCAATGAGTTTTGTTCCAATAATTTCTTGGGTTTATCTAAACATGATGTTCACTTTTACAGCTCTAATTTCATCTCAATTGGTGCTATTTGGTATTGCTTGAATAGTTTTACTTTTAATTAATCAATTTATTTATTTATTTCTTCTTCATCACCATCGCTACTACATTTACATCATCTCTAAATATTTTGAATTTGCAAAGTCATCTCCCTTGAATTGCTAACAATTATTGTCGAATGTTGGCAAGATGTGTGAATCAGTGTTTTATCGAATTTTACAAATATTGTTTTATTACAAAATTATTATCACATTTAAAATCATTTCTTTCTGATCTTTCTATTTAATGATGTATTAGTTGTATATCAAGAACTATCTGGTTTCTGAGCATAAACAATTCATTGATTGAATTAAATAAAAAAAATAATTCTGAATTTTTTAAGTTTGACCAAAAAGTTGATTCAGTAGTAAAAAAAAAGATCAATTATTAAAACATAGAATATTAAACATCAACTAAAACCATTTAATCTGCATAGTTTTCTATTATAGCTTTTAAAATAAATATATTAAAATAAAAGTATATATTAATATATAATGCATACAAATATATTAAAACAAGGAAAAGAGCAAGGAAGAAAAATTTACCATGAAATTACTTAGAAATTTAAAAAAATAATAACCAGTTTGTTTTTGTAATTTTTTTCTTCATGTAATTTTTCAATTAACCATTTTACAGTAAATATTTTCCTTTGTTCTTCTTGTTCTTGTTTTAATATATTTGTATGTTTTATATATTAATATATACTTTTTTAATATGCCAATTTTCAAAAATAATAATAAAATCTCATAATGACTGCATAATAAAATCCAGTTGGCAAGAATAAAAGGAACTTGACCAACGAAGATCTGGTTTATTTCTTTCTCTTTGTCAGATATTTTTAATAGGAAATTTTACTTTAGAATTCTATCTTCCCAATAAGATATTCCTTAGGAATTAATAATTCTTACTATCTCTCCTCAGTCCAAAGTTAATCCTAAGTCAGCCTCTTTATTTTGAGATGAACAATCTCCAATTGACACTAACTGATTGTTCTCCACTATTTATTACTGATAATGGCAATTATTTTCACACTTACCACTCACAATAACTGATCCATCTTTAGCAATATCTAAAGCATTGCATGTCATGTTATTCACTACAATTCGAAGTAATTCCTTCTGTGAGGGAGTGTGCCAAACACGAATTTGTTCTGCTCCACAAGTGAGAAACAATTTTGGAACACCACTGGAATACAAAAATATAGCAGAAAGATGTGTTGTGATGACAAATGACTTTAATTTATTTTATTTTATTAGTATTTTAATCTGACCATGAAAGCTGGAGTGATTGTACAAGACACAAAAGAAGTGAAATTTTTACAAAAACAATTTGTGTAGTGAGCAAGCAAACAGATATATGTGCTTACACACATTCTAAATTAAGGTGTCTTTTTTAATGCCATCTTGCTTCAGGATGTTAGCAATCATAGCTCTCTACAGAGTCCTTTTTCTTTATTATCTGTGAATTACCATGAATTTTTGGGAAAGATAGTGGAGTGGTTTCCCAGTGCCTTCTCTACAGTTTATAATTCTGAGTTTTCTTCTCTTAGACTGGTTGTCACCCAAGGCTAGAGAGCCCTGTCTACACTACTATTTATCCCATAACAGGTGGGAGAAGAGATGTATTCATTTATTTCCCAAGGACATTTTTGTAAAAGTGAATGCAACTGACTAGCACAGAATTTGAACTTGGCTCACAAAATCCACAGTTGCACTAACCACACATCTAATTATGTCTTTTTAAAAATATATTCTATTTCTTCAAACAGATTATAAATTAGGTAAAAATTAATTAGTTCTAATCATACCTTGTGATTATACAATATCAATATTTGCAAATTCTTTATAACAGTTACAAAATATTCAAGGGTACTTCATTATGGTGTAATGATTAACAAGCTTATCTCACACATCCTGTTGGGTGTTCAATAGCCAGGATTTCTGGTGATTAATAGCTAGAGACCAATATAGATAATAAGTATCAGCTTAGCTTGTGGTGGGGGGGGGTCTATCTCTAGAAACATCTCTATTGCATCAATGGGTAGAATAATTAAGTATGTCTTGTTGCCTGTGACAGAAGCCAATAAAACTAGACAATTTCTGAGCACACCCACATGCAAAAATGTGAAGGGGTCAAACATTAATTATGGTAGGAGGTGAATCAATTCAGCTTGACTTAGTAAATACTCAAAATATTCAGAGAATTTTGGAAATGACTTACAAATATTTTACATCACAAATGGAACACTGACTTGGCATATTAAAAATGCTAGATGAATTCTCACTGCAAATTATTCAAGTTAAATTACAAGAAAATGATACACATTGAGAAAATGGAGATAAAATAAACAAATAAAAAAGAATAATTGCTTTCATTACAACATGAATTAAAAAGATCTGCTACAGAAATAGTGAAAAGAAATTGAAAGCAAAACAAAGATAAATATATAAATATACATATAAAAAAACCCATAAGTAATCTGGAGAGATAATAAATGGGTTTGTTTTTGAAGAAAGTAAAAATGCCATACGCAGGAAATATGATATCATTGACAGCAGATGAATGTCCTGTGTTGAGAAGTTTGCATGTGAATTCCATGTAGTTAAATCTGTACATATTGGATGTGTCGGTACCAACAAAAAACTGAAATTTAAAATAAAAGCAAATAAGAAAATATTCTGATTACTGAAATAATTTGGGGGAATTGGAATTGTTCTTAGCCTTTTCCACTCAGTCATTTTATTTGTTTTTATGGCTTATCAACCTTTTGCAGGTTATTTAAAGCCAGAAAATAGTTTTAGATTGTGAGAATTCTTTGGAGATAATAATTTACTGATGCAAATCCTGCTACTTAACCCATAGCTAGGATGGGGAAGAGGTGGATTCATACCTTTCCCAAGGGTATTTGTGCATGTAATGAACCGAACTGGAATAAGTACTTAGCTCTCTGATTTCCAATTCTGAGTCATTACACCACCCACACATCCAAGCTTACAGCACCTGGTATTCCCACTCAGTCCCCCATCTAGGTTCTGATCAGACTCAATGTTGCTTAACCAGTGATTGATTGTACAAGAACCAGTGCACAATGTACTGTATATAATGTTTTAACTTTCTAATAAGTGAAGTGTTTGAGAGTTTTCCATGCATTCTCTCTCTCTCACACACACACATAGAGCAAAGATTTTATCAGTAAAAGAAGACAAATTATTTGAAAAGACAATCATATATTTTTATTTATTAAAGGTTTTGATATTGTGTTTCACTCTCAGATCCTCAGAAGATCTTCACATGAGAGTGAAATATTCATAGCCCTGTGAATAATAATATTAGCCATTTCCTTATAAGGAAACATTTCACATTCACTGACTGAGCAACCAGTGCTACTTTCAGTTGAAATTTATAAAATTTTTCTATTGTATAATTTTTCAGGAAAATACATTTCTCAAATTCACTGTTATTGCTTTTTCCACTATTAATGGGGGTTTCATCCCTAACCATTTGAAGTAGTATAGAACATCAACATCTTGATGATGTCTATTTTTTCTTCAAGTTACATGTGTTATCTATTTTAGTTGTTTCTGTTGTTTAAAATCTTCAAGTGATGTGGTTTCTGTTATTTGGTATAGTTCTTTGCTTGTGATTCTGTAGCACAAGTCCACAATGTACATAGAAAGATATTCTTTGCTAAAACCTACAGGCTTCATTCACTCAAAGTCATTTTTAGTCATTGATTTGAGAAAGCAGTTGGACACAACTGACAGTTTTGATATCTCTGAACAAGTTTAATGTCATGCATGAATTCCATATGAAAATCTTGATCTGACACAATTTAAGAAAATGATGTAAGTTTTCAGGTTAATGTTTGTTTTTGTAGCAATGTGTGGTGTTGACACAGTCTACTCTATGTTCAATTTCCTTATCTCCTATATTAAATTTGTTATAACTGATCCATGCAATAAGGTATTTGAAGTGTTTAGAATTTACTAATTTTAATAATAATTGCGTTTTTAATTCACTAGTGGATTATTACAAATTTTTCTGTAAATAGAGACAAATTGTACCTTTTCTATCTATGGGTTTTTCAACTTGGTGAGTGCTGAGTGCTTAGAATGCTCACATTTTAACCATGAGACCTGGGTTCAAATCTCACCATGTTCAATTTGTCAAGGAAGTAATTTTTTTTATATCAGCCTGGGAAGAAAATCCCAGCATGTGTCACTTTTGAGAAATTCCTGAAAACCATACCATGAGTTGACTCAAGACTTTTCAGTGAAATTGGGTAGATGGAACTGTTTGGAAGCCGTCAGTGGTTGTACTAGCAGAAAGTCACAAGTCATCATGACCAAGATTTTCAACACAAAGAACATAAATGCTTTTCCAAAGTAAAACTCAGCTTTCTCCTTTGTTGCCACATTATTATTTCCTTTGATTTTTTCCTGTTGTATATACATTTCCTTCCAGGGCCCAACCAGAGACTTAAGGTCAGAAATGGCTGCATGACATTTTCCAGTGATCATTTTTGTAAAAAAACAAAAACTAAGATCACACACATTTTACATAAATAAAGTTCTTTGTAATGCACGAGCTGTACAAGAACAATTTTTTGTATTTCTTTAAGGCATGGGCTACCAGGTATCCCTTCAATGAGTCTATTGGAACCATTTCCAATTAATCCAATGGCTCTAACTGCAACTGGAATTATTGATGTCCTCCTATGCCACATTTTTGAGATTTCCATTTCAAGATACTTGTATAGTGATAGTTTTTTGAATATCTTCAAAGATACATTACAATCTGCAGAAACTGCCATGTCAATAAGAAAGAACATTTTGTTCTTTGATCACATATTATTATTATTATATGAAAATATTGTCAGAGTATCAAAATAGAATATTTGACACCTTGTTCAAATTCAAGTGATTTCCATTAGTATTTTTATTATATATGTTTCTCTCATGCAATGTGTTATATACTGTAAATAATAATCCTCATAAATACGTTGGACACTATTGTAAGTGGGGGTAATATGCTGTCTAAGTAGTCCACCACTAGCAGTGGCTTACCTACTTCATGCTGATGGTGAGTATTGTATTTTGTTGATATTATAAAGATTACCATTTCATTTCCAACTTCCATTTGGTTATTCCTCATTCAGTAACCTTTTCTAGGTTACAACACAATGATATTATTTTATCTCAAGTTATATGTATGCAAATTAAAAATCATTTGAATTTAAATCTGAACAGGGTGTCATGTACTTAGATTTGTTAAATAGTTAAATATGAAATTATCAACTTTTTAATTTATATTTGGCATATGTTATTTGTTTGTTATATATATATATATATATATATACACACACACATACATACATATATATATATATATATATATATATACACACACACACATACATACATACATATATATATATGTATGTATGTATGTATGTATGTATATAATCATCAGAGTAAATAAAAGTTTTGATATATTTGTTTCATATGAACCCTACACAAATTGCTATACATATGTTAACCAAATCAAGTAACTCCTTTTACTAACTACAACTAACTTGTTGTCGATAAAAAATACATTGCTCAAGATGGTTAATTTATGATATTGTAAATGAAAATTTTCTTGTCAAAAATAATAAATGGACATTATAAAATACTCTTTCTATAATAATTGCTGCCACAGACACAAACATGAAATTTTAGGGGTAAGACATGTTGAAGCTGTAGTGGTAAAACATTGATATAATGATAAATATTTAGGAGAAAAATACTTAAAGGATGGTAGAAAAGTTTGCCCTGTAATTCAATGTTAAGTAAATTTGATGATATAAATGAATATTACTTTGTAAACATAGGATCTGAAGATGTCATTAACAATGTAATGGTTTATTTTTAATAACATATACTCACTTGATGCCCTGCTCCTCGAAGAGATAAGGACATAATGCTGCCTTTGAGTTTGTGGGAATTTCTGTGAAAGAATCGGTTGAAATAAAGTTAAAAAAATCTCCAAAAAACAGTGATGATAATTATGATGAGAAAGAGTAAATGTAGAAGAAAGTGATGAAGAATAGAAAAGATTGTTACAGAAATAAAAATAAGTCAACCTGTGGAATGTCTATGAATAAAAATGCAGAGTAACTCACTAAAAATAAGGTTTCTGTCTTATAAATAAGCTTCTATAGCAATTACTTCTAAAATACTTTATCTTTTCAAAATTTTACACATATGAGGGTAAAACTGTTGGAAGTTAGTTTCATTAAATTGAGTTTCCAACATGGCAGCAAATATTGGACAATTTCCTCACAGATGAAGAAGAGACTTGAAGCAACAGAGATGTGGTTCTAATAATGAATGCTAAGAATGCCATGGACAAAAAACTTTAGCAACATAGAACTCTAAATGAAAATAGGAATAAAAAGGAAACTTATAATCAGAAAGAGACAGATAAAATTTCTAGGACACATAATAAGAAAAGAGGCCTGATGGTAACAGAAGCCATGAGAAACAGTGATTAACCGACTTAATATGTTTGAGATGGCAGAACAGGGACCAAAAGGATGATAAAGAAAAACTTGCATAGAGTAACAAAAGACAGGAAGTCATTGAGAGTCATGGCTGTTTGATCTCCTGAAAAGACTGCATATAAAAGAAGATGAAAAACGAATTGATTTGATTGTTGTACAAAATTAAAAAGATCCCAGTTTTATATTGCAGAGTTGTTTAATCTTTATTATACACTGATTTATGCAAAGTCATCTTTGTTGTTTTGGTAATAATGTTTAGGATGCTATACACTCTGGCCTTCTTCAGGTGCTGGCTGTATTTAATACTATTCTTGGAATTTTGAATTAAATCCTTTAAGCAATGTATGGAGTAGACTGCTCTCATTCTGTTGTCCATATAATTGTATCAGGTAATGATTATAACCAAAAAGTAATTGAGTAATAGCAGTCACATGGTATAATTTGGGAGTCTTAAGCCTAATGGCTGTTATATTTTCATTAAAGGCTTCCATATGGTGTTCAATTCCATGTTAGTCCTGAGGAGGTTGTGTTAGAACCTAGCATATACTCTGATTCTTTCAATCACCTTATTCTCCATTCTTGCTCTTAATTATTCTGATTTGTTTCATATGAGTTGGAAATCTCTTCTTTCTATACATGATCAACCATAACTGACTTCATAGTTTCTCTACAAACAACTGCATTTTGAGGTTCTTTCATCTTTACCTTTCAAGAGCAGAAGTTCTCGCCTGTATACTTCATGCTACAACTGTATAGACTGTTATCCACTCAGTTTTTGGTCATGTTCTAATGAAGGCTTGACTTTAGTCAGTTATCTTGAAATAGTAGAACTGCCCTGATAATGTATGGACTGTAAATCCTTTGTGTCCTTTTTGATATACCTCTGTTTAAAGGTAAATGGACATTGATAATTTTCCAACTATTTTCATCTACGCTTGTTCTTCTGTTTGTGGAATCTAATGTTATTCTTGTTAGGTAGCTGTTACTCTGAAAGATGTTCCTAATAATCAGCTCTGCTTAGCATGCCTGTAACATCACTTATAAATTTTACTTGATGTTGTAGAATGATATCTTTCTTCATAATATATAGCTGGTGGGAATTGCAAATCAGATATTGGAGAATGTTATTATATACAGATATCTTGAACTTCTCTGAATGAGCTATTTGGATATTCAGGAAGGCCAGTTTATTGTTTGTATCCATTTTCAAGGTAAACTGTATTGAAGGTTTCATTGCATTCATATAGTCCAGCAGCAGTTGCACATCTTCCTGGTGAAGCTAGAAGATAAAGTTATCTCAGCCAGATGGTTGTCTTCAAAGGTATCATTTTTGAAAACATTTCCTCAATGTATTCCATATATATGTGTTGTGGTTTGAGCCATTTACCCTTCTTACTATCATAAATGGACTGATCCATTCATGATAAGTAGTCCTGGGTAATTGTCAAAGGAAGAAAATAATACTATAGCAGTGAGTTGTCTAGCTGAGTACTGAATACTACTATCACAGTCAGACCCCACATCACAACAATATGTTTGCCATCACTGAAGACAATGGCAATTCCATAACTGTGCTTTCTTTCTGATAAAAGACTCAGTTGGATGTATTTTGTCTGTATACAGAATCTCAACATTGGGCCTGATTCTAATTTATACTAAACCACTGATAGGTCATCATCAGCGTGAACCTTGGTAAACAGGCTCACAATATCCAAACTTATATTCTATTTGAAATGAATGGGAGACTCTGTAATTTCCTCCACAAAGTGAACAGAGTTCTTTAAATAGGATGAAGATTTGTCAGTGGGTTGACTATATATCTACCAGGAATTACACAACTGACTATAGGCATGAATAAAATGTACATCTTTGTAAATTTGAGCCAAAACATATATATGTGTGTGTTTGTGTGTGTGGTAGTATATTACATTTAAGTTAATATCTTCAACGGAGAAGTCAACATTTTTTCAATGTTGACTTCTCAGATGAAGGTATTTAAGTGTAGGACTTAAATGTGATATCCTCAATGAAACTGAGGCCTTTGTTTAACAATTTCCTCAGAGGTACTTAATTTGTATTTGATGATGGTGATAGCTAGTGGTCATGAGTTTGATCTTAAGCAATGAAATCTATATAATCTGGTTCAGTAGAATAAGCAGAAACAACTTCATGATGATGAACAGGACAAAATAACAGAAGAATTAACTAATTAATTAGCATGGACAGAATGAGAATTGTTGATTGATTGATTTGTATTTTTATGGCTTATCAACCATTTGTGAGTTATTTAAAGTTGAAACATTTTTTTGTTGGAATAATTCATTTTTTATTTTTCCAAGTGAATATTGGATTAATGCATTAACAATTTTGGTGGGATAACAATGAATTTTCCAGATAAAAAGTCCTACTATTTAACTCATATCTGGAGGGAAGAGATGGATTCATACCTTTCCCAATGGTATTTGAGCATCTGAATGTAATGAACCTGGACAGTATGAGAAAAGTCTTCCCTTGTAGATTCAGTTTCAAATGCTTAGAATATTACAGAATTCACAAGCACCTAAAGATGGTCAAAGAAGGCAATAACAGTGTGAATAAAACAGGGTATAATAATGATAATTCCTCATGTCAGAAATTTGGACAGCAGTTAAAAAGAAAACTAACTGTTGGCACATTGGAATAAATTAACCTGAATAGAGTAAAAATGAACACTTCTGAGGGTAACTGAATTTTGTCTTAACAAACTGAGTCTAAATTGTATGACTACTGCACAACCGATCTATTTTATCTTTATCTTTATTTTGTCAGATCAAATCAAGAAATTAAAAAAAAAAAAGAGTGATGCCATGTAATCATCACATTGGCTGCATCCAAAGCTATGGAGCCTGGTTTACCCCATTGTGATAGATGGCTGTTGACCCTACAAGAAGGTTCATCCACCCTTTGACAAGTCTTGTTTTTAATCCTGATGTGTGTTTATCTACTCTCCTCACCAGAAAAGCCCAGTGGGGGAATTGGTTAAGTTCCAGATGACCTGGGTAGTATTGGATTACATAGTACCAGTGGCACTTGTAAAGTGACCTGACATGAATATGTATTGATATTATAATATTAATATGTCCTACTGTTCAAAGTTATCTTATTTGTTATTTTCAAATTAAATACAAACACATGATTTTTTTGTATTTTGGGAATGAGCATCCTATTTAATACATTTTTTTATCTGTTAATCCATTTTAAAACAAATAGTTAGAATACAGATGTCAGTAACAATATATTACTTCTTTATTCAATAACAATAGTAGCAAAAACAAATTAACAGGGAAACTTCCAAGGAAGTGTAGCAACCTTTTTTTTATATTTTGGCTCAAATTAATATGAAATGTCAGCACTTAGTTTTAAGATTAATTTTTTTTTTTTATTTCACCCCAAAGTAAGGCAATAACACCACTAAGATGCAAGGGGTTACTTAGTGTTAGAGAATATGGGAAAAATACTAGTAAAGAGTGAGAACAATAAAAAAACAAGACTTAAGATGACAGAAGATAACATTGCACTTACATTTTTGAAGTTGGCTGAGAAGCAATAATCTGGAAGAGAGTTCCACAAGTAAGAAGTGTGATAGAATAAACTGTTAGCATAGAACTTACAGTTACATCTAGCCATTTCAACTGTAAAATGAGACCTTCCTGTCAATCTAGTACTGTGCTAGGTACCTTAGAGTAAAGTTCATCAAAAAAATTACTTCAAAAGTATTTATAGAAAAGGCAGAGGGAAGCCACATTATGTCAGAGGAAAAGTGACTAAAGTTGAGATGTCAGATTAGGACCAACAACATTGCAGGTTCTTTTTTGGATTTTATCAAGAATCTCTAAATATATAGCTGGAGCACCACACCAGATGTGGCAGCAATATTCAAAGCAAAGACAAATGGTAGACATAAATATATAAGATAGATTCTGGTGAGAAAAATGTGAAAAACTGCTGCAACTTTGTTTTTTTGCACATGCACAGAAAAGCTTCAAAATAGATCAGTACAAAAGGACTTGAAATAGGTTTTTTTATTAAGGTAGATAAAGAATCAGAAACTAACATTCACAAGAAATTAAAAAAACCTATGTAAGATATTAGTCAAGGACAGTGTGGTGTATAAATTAAAAAATAAATTCATTGGTGAAGAATGAAGCAACTTGTGTTTTTTTCTCCTTTCTTTGTTGAAGATACAACACATAAATAATAAAAAAGGGGATGTAATAAATCTGCTAAGTCATTCTAGGATTACCTTCAATAAATTACAAGCAATAAAAAGAAGGCACAACTTTAGGGGATTTTCATATATTAACATAAATATTTTCCTAATTTTCATTGCTGCACAAATCAAAAGTATATTTTCTTATTTCAAAAACTAAAGTTTCTTTAAAAAAATATTCCCTTCCCTCTTGTATGATTTTACTATGTTGCAAGCTTCTTATTTGAAATAAAATTTGGATTTGAATTTCATTGACAAAGATCGACTCACTTGGTCCTTTGAAATTTGGTGCTTTTGTCCTTCACAATTGCCACAGTGCCATCACCTGCTCCGACAAGCAACTCAAGGTGACCTCCAGTTTTTACAAGTATCAAACTCTGAACTCCCCTAGAAAACATTTTCTTCTGAGGCCCAATTACATTAAGCGTTGAGGTTTTCATCGTCACACACAAAATGTCACCTGTCGTAGTTCCACAGTAAAAATAGGAATCGTCCTCTTCAACCTGACACAAGAAAAAAATATTCAGTAAGATTATTTGAAAATATTTTAAATAAAGCATTGCATATTTGGATGTTTAAAGAAATCTGGGTTTCTCTCACAAAAAAGTCTATACCACTTATGAAACTTTTATTGATTAAAGCAAATGAAAATCTGTTGGTGCTAAATCTGCTGAGTATGGAGGATGTGGAAAACCTACTCCCCATCCAAATGACCTTATTATTCTTGGGTTTGTTTTGCAGAATGTGTCCTTGCATTGTCATGCTAGAGAATAACGCCTTTTCTTTTTACCAAAGCAGAACACTTTTGAAGTAATACTTTGTTTACTCAATCAAATTGTTGGCAATAAATGTTCATCAGTGATGGTCCTTCCATGTTCCAGTTGCTCGTAAGGGATAACACCTTTCATATTCCACCAGACACCAAGCAAAGATTTCTGTGCATGGAGTCCTAGTTTTGGTATTGGCACTTGTTTCTCATTTTGTGATAAGCACAGTCTTTTTCACTTTATTTTGATATGCAAAGCCCATTTTTATCACTTGGAACACTGAAATGAAAAAATGTTGGCATTCCTGCAGATGGTGGAATGTTTTGTTTGGTTCTCAAGTAAAATCTTATGACAACCCTAGATTCCTACTTTGCAAATTTTCCCAATTCACTTGAGAGGTTTGTGGCCAGTTGAACATGACACATTAACTTGTTGTGCCAAATCTGTGGTGCTTTGACATAGGTCCAATTCAAGAGTGTCTTTCAAAAGCTCTTCATTCAGAGTGGGTTATCTTCCAGAGTGGGTTTGCTCAGATATATCGTAATCGCCATTTTTAAATGACATGTATGAGCCTTCCCTGCATCTGTATACATCACACAAATATTTTTAATGTCTCTCTATACCCTTTTGGAAATCATATAGTAAGCAATGGTGAATTTGTTGGTATAATTCTCCATAAAACTCTGAAATGCACTATAAACAACACACTGTCAGATGAAGAGACGGTAAACTAATTCTAGACACAATTTCATACCATTCAACCATGGTTCTGCCTGTTTGGTTGACTTATTCATAGCAGTGTAACATGTAATTACTTTCCAAACACCTTTTTATTTTTTAATAAAATGTTCATTATATTAAATATGAGAAATATTAATTCTATGCTTAAGTCTAGAAACAATATCATTTTGTGATGAATTGTTTAAATTTCCTGTTTTGATTCTATCACAAAGAATGATATTTTTCTTTCATGTTATCTGTCATCACTTTATGAAAAGTTCATCATAAAACAAAATATGATCAACAAAAATTATTTTGTTTTATTTTATATTTGGTGGAATTAAAAAAAAAAGAAGAGAATATTTTGCTCACAGCAATGCACTGAACAATTCTTTTGTAAGGTCCCAGATTCACTTCTGTTGGTCGAACTTTTCGGTTTTTCAGATCAACATCCCAAATCCTTAAACAGTATCTGCCAATAAAAGTTCAAAGAATAAATATTTGAACCATTTCATTTTATTATTAATCTGGTCAAATTATTAAAATATACAGTTGATCAATCTAAGATTAACAATGAATACCAAAATTGCAAACATAACAAAGCAAGGGATTTAAGTGAGGTTAAACAGAAATTAAAAACAATAAAAAAAAAAAATGAACATTTTATTTCTTGGTGATTGAAATAATGTACTCTTTTGGGGACCTAAATGCCAAAAATGGAAACAACAGAGACCATCTAAAACATATGTGTATCAACTAAGAAAGAATACTTGTTTGAGAAGTGAAGAACTAATAAAGATTATGAGAGACAGAGAAGAATGAAAGAAACAAGTCAATGGTGCTTGATTTTGCTCAAAATAGAACAAGAAAAAATGCCTTAATGCTAGCAATATGTTAGGATGTGTTTGCACAATTTTAAGTGAATAACTTACACTATCACTGTATGATTCATCTAACTTGACTCTCCTAAACATGGATGTATCAATGGAGTTCATGCAAAATTGAGAAAAGACAATCTGCATTAGGAGCTCCAAATATCTATGGCTTTTATGGAAGAGATTTTGTTTAAACTAAATAAATTGCCAAAAATTATGTATAAAATTTAGAGAAAGTGATTTCAGCCTAAGAAATGAATGAGCACATTGCATTGTTGAATTTAACAATGATTTGTTCTTTGGTCTGAATGAGACAGAAATTGTACTGTTACAGTTGAAGAATTTTCTCAAAAACTATTTTCAAGCCATTGAACAGTTTACCATCATCTGCAACAAGTTGGAAAGTTGCCTAAGTTTTGGAAAAAGGGTTCTGCATGATTTGACAGAAGCCAGTTGGAAAATAAAAGTGGATATCTGTACTCCTTTGCACTATTGTGAATGCATCTTGCCATTTTTGAACAGATTAATGACTGCTGATTCAAACTGGATATTTTACAGGAATATAAAGCAATGCAATCAATGATTTGATGGAGGCAAACTAAAGCACGACCCAAAATAAACTGCAATGCAAAGAAAGTTTTGGTATATGTTTTCTAAGATTTCATTGTTGTAGTCTACTTTGAATTGCTACTGGTCAATTTTATGATTATAGCAGGCTTCTCTTGTCAGCATTTAGAGCATTTAAATAGTACTTTGAAAAAAAAAGAAGCCAGTTTGATTGGTTTAAAAAATGCTATGCCCCATAATGATTATGTACAGTTCCATATAGAAAAGATCCTATCTGAAAAAAAGTTGAAGAACATGGTTAGCACAAAGAGTTCACATTGTTTATTCTCCAGATCTTGCCTTGTCTGATTAATACATTTTCTAAAGTTTATAGCATGAGCATTGTTAAAACAAATGAACAACTAGAAACTACCATCTCTTTCAAACTAAAAGACTATGCCAAAAATGGTATTATGAAAACCACTGGAAGGAGGTTAGTGATAATAACTTAATCTATTTTAATTAATAATTTTTTTTAATAAACATAAATTTTTGCATTTTTTTCTGGCACTAAATACATAGGATGACCTGATTAAATGTTACAAAAAATGTCAACTAGAATACACATCTGAAAAATATTACAAAACTCATTCAAATGTTTCATGTAATTAAGGTTACTTTATTTAGTGTTGGCTTTGAAGGAATATGTCTTTGTGATAAATATGCATAAATAAGCCATTAATTTATATTGAGGATAATGGTTTTTTTAATGGGTAAGTACTAAGAGGTTCTAAAAGAAAAACAAAGAGAAACTGAGATGAGAGGTTCAAAAGAAAAAAATAACTAGTTAGTAATTGGTTTATCTCAGTCACTTTCAAGCACATTTTTCTCATTAACATTATTATTATTATTATTATTGATGTCTGATATTTTGATGATATTTATAATATTTTTTGGTCTTTAAGAAACACTTCTAATGTTAGTGATATTTTTAGAAAGTAAACAAGACTCATGAAATATGAGAGATAATGGTGGAAGCTTCTGAATCTTGATATTCGACTTGAGATTCTGAGCAAGGATGACCTTAAGCAGAAAAATTTTGAACAATTCTTTTTGGAAAAAGAAAGCTTGCATCCAGAAGTGTAATAAATTTCATTTTCTTACTCCCAAATTAAGATTTATCAACTACAACAAAATAAAAAAAATAAAAAACACAAGAGAGAAAAAAGGAAGCATGTTCCACCAGTTCAGACCATTATAGTTAGGTACATGCTACATCCACAGTGTTGAATCACTCTTATTACCTCCATATTTCAGTTGTAAGGAGTAGATTTTCCAAGAACTGTTACTTTGTGGAACAGACACCTGCATGGATATTTGCCTGAGCACTAGTAATTAACCTCTTCAAGTCAAAGATCAATCATCATCTATCCCCCTTATTTTCATAATCTTTACTTCTGACTATCTTGTCTTACAATCATATCACACACCTCATTTAGTAACCGTCTACCTTGAGTGGCTCTCGGACTTTGGGTGAATTTTAGTAAAAAAATGAAAGCATGACAATTAAATAAATGTTTCAAATTTAGTGTTTTTATTCTGCACTGTTTGTTGTATAACAAGTTTTAGACCCACCTAAAAAATGATTTTAAAATGTCCTTCAAGTCAGGAAAAATCAAGTATTTATTTTGTGAAATTTCTTGTATATATAAGAGGACATTGGATGTTGACAAATACTTCATAGTGACTACTATGCTAATACCTAAAAAGTAAAATACTTACTCTCCTCCTGTCATGAATAATAAGTCAGATGTATTGGCAAATTTGCCACAAAGTGTCACTCCTGCAGTAACTGCTTGGGCAGGGGATCCACAAATGGCTTCCTTTGCTGAAATGTTCCAAAGCACAACACTGTAAAAAAAAAAGAAAACGGAGCCATATATATTAACATGACAAATGGTGTATCTGCAAAACTTAAAGTTGGAATATAAGTCTTTTGAACATCTATCTATCTATCTATCTATCTATCTATCTATCTATCTATCTATCTATCTATCTATCTATCTCTCTCTCTTTCCCTCTCACTTGGTATATGTGTGTGTGTGTGTGTGTGCAAGCTATCATGATATTTGATGTGTTTAAATTCCTTGAATTTTGAGATAGCCCTTTCATATCTATTACTCTCTTTCTCTCTTTCTCTCTCTCTCTCTCTGTCTAACTGTATTGTTTAAAAAAAATTGCAATATAGAAGGAAGAGTGTTCAGAATTGGAGATTTATAAGTATTTACAGACATAGTGTGGACATGGGAATCAACACTGCATCTTGAATGTCAGTTTCACATTTCAATGTAATCTCTGTGTGTGTATATATATATATATATATATATATATATATATATATATATATATACATATGCGTGTGTGTGTGTGTGTGTGTGTGTGTGTGTGTATATAGTATTGAAAGTACTTGCAATATGGACTGAACATCTAATCCATTTTACAGTTTTTAAAAACAAGGATTGTGTCATTCAATGAGTGGTTAGTGAGGTAATACCTTATTAATCTGTTAGCGAAGTGATTTTGCCATTAATTACATTAACTTTACTGATTTATTCTTTGTATGACAAATTCTTTACTATATATATATATATATATATATATATATATATATATATATTACCCTCTTAATTGATTTAAAAGTATTGTTCAAAAAGAAAATTACAATTTAAAAAAATAAGCACTATTGAAATTAGCACATCTACCCCACCTTCCCAGTAGGCATGGGGCCCCCACATAGTTAAGAGGTTTGGGGTAGTAAGTACTGGCCTTGTCGATTATTATAGTTAATAATTGACAATATAACTTTTGGTAGAAAAACAGTAAAAAGTACACAAAGCAAAAAATACTGCTGAAACAAGCTGTTTTGGGGCTCCAACCTTGTCAGGGGTTCCTGTGTAGTATGCATTGCACTGGCCATGCAGATACACACATACATATTATTAGTTGACAACTGACAAGATATATATTCAACTGAAAATACCCACTTTGACAACCTCAAACTAAGTGTGCGACCTATCTACTGGTGTGACTTATACACGAGTATATACAGTATTTTATACATCAACAACAACCACATTTGCAAAACATTATTTACATATTAGAAAGAATGATCAATAAATTTAATAGACATAAAATGTTTATTCTTTTTAAGAAGACATGTATACAAGAAGAGTTGCAGCCAAAATATACCAAATTTAAGAATAACTTGTATAGAAATTGTAAGTAAATATCTTTATACTTATGTACTTAGTATTATACAGGGATCTATTGAGACTACTCTCCTCATCTTGGTTGTTTTAATCACATTTCAGCCACTCTTCTTCAGGTGCTGCTGCCTTCAATAACCTTCTGAGAATTTTCAACTGAACATTTTATTCAATCCACAGGGTTGATTGTTTTCATCCTGCTGTCCATTCTAGAGGATATTTTGTATTAGTTCTTTCTAGTTAATTCACCTGTATGATATCAATTTTATTTTTATCAAACCAGAGTATTTAACTTTCACTGCTTGACTTGAGGATAGAACTCACAATGCCCAGATAACTAGACACACTTAACCAACACAAGGTCCTTATTCTATTGAGTGCATACAACACTACCACCACTCCCCAGAGGCACACACTGTCTCTATTCTCACAAGGTTAGTTTACTAAACATTAAGTCATTAATGATTCTATTGTGATAAACAAACAGACCTTATGCTATTCAACAATAAGAAATAAGGTCATAAGATAAACATTTGACAAGATTACACTCTATTTTCTCATCAGTTTTACATAAAATTATGTTATTTTTTTCTATAACTGGAGAATGTAAGAGAAACAATTTAATTCAGAAGGAAGATTATCTTTTGAAAGATTTTTTTAAAAGATTTTGGATTTATTTTCAAGTATAGATAAATTCATAAATAGGTAAGCCATGATTTATAACTGGGAATAAAATCTGTCTGAATTCCTGAGGTGAATGCTTCTCATTATTATATATGAATCAATTGAAACTGGTCTCTTCATTTTGGCTTTTATATTCCCATTTTCTTTTGTTTTTTTCAGGTGTATATCATATTTGGTAATGTTCTGTTTTGAACAAAACCCTTTATTCAATACAGGGAGGTAGACTATTCTAATTCTGCTGGCCATGCTGGAGGATATCTTCTATTAATTTTTCTTAGTTAATTTGTTCTTGGCTAAATTCTACTAAATCCAAGTGTATGAATTTCACTGCCTGAACCAGGAATAAGTGGTTATTCTTTCATAACCAAGCATTAGATTTAAAACTCCAAAATATCACAAATCCATAACTTGATTGTTCTACAAGGAAATTATCAAGTGGATATAAGTAATAATTAATTGTATATCATTTACCTGGTGGTTACAAGCTCGAACAGTGATATTAAATGCTGGTTCAGATGAAAAATATACATGAGTCAAAATGTAAAATATATATTAGTCTAGATGTAAGAATGTACATTAGCCAAGATGAAGTAATGTATGCTGTTCCAGAAGAAATAATGTACATTGGTCCAGATGAAAGAATATAAAATGGTCCAGATAAAATAATGTACATTGGTCTGGATGAAATAATGTATATTAATTCAACTGGACAGTTGTATATCCTTTCATCTTGCACCAGTGTACATAATTTTTTCTGGTTCAGATGAAAGAATATACACACGCCCAGATGGAAGATGTACAATATTTCATCTAGACAACTCTATATTCTTTCATCTATAATAATAATGTACACATAATAATAATGTGGTCCAGATGAAAGAATGTACATCGGTCCAGATGGAAGATCTATAATATTTTATCTAGATCAGTGTACATTACTTCATCTGGACAAGTCTATATTCTTTCGTCTAATAATAATAATGTACATTGGTCCAGATCAAATAATGTATAGTGGTCCAGATGAAAGAATATACAAGTGTACAGAAAGAATAATGTACAGATGAAAGTATGTACATGGGCCCAAATTAAATAACACTAGTTCATATGAAAAAATATACACTGGTTCAATGTAAATTATTTCATCTGAGTAGTGTATAGTCTTTCATCTGGACCAGTGTACATTATTCCATTTTAGTCCAGATGAAAGAGCATACATTAGTTCAGATGAAAGAATATACGCCTGTCCAGATTAAATTATATACATTGGTCCAGATGTTAAAATGTACATTGGTCCAGGTGAAAGAATATACACTGGTGCAGATAAAAAAATAAAGGTGACATCACAAGGATGAATTAACAAATATGCGATTTCTTCTAGCATGGACAACAGAAAGAGAACACCCTACTCTGTGTATTGAATAAAAGATTTTGTTAAAAGTTTCCAAAATATAACCGACATCCAATGCAATGACTTACACATTACGACTATGACAGCTAAGATGAAGATACCAATCTGAATGACTTACAGTGTATAATTATGGCAACTACAGTACACTCATAATTTAGTAGTTAAATTATATGTCAAGAAAATCCAAGTCTGTCTAAATTTTACATATTTTATGAGACACATCTTTTGATTACACTTGTACATTTTGATCTCTCATTTTGGGGAATGAATCAAAGCTATCTTAGGATGAAGATGTAATTAATGTCAAAATGAACTGATTAATACCCACCATAAAATCTAGTGTTAATTATAAGTTTACAAAAAGTCTGTTATCAATTATAGAGAGCTCTCTATAGTTGATTAATGCCCATCATTCCAAAAATGAGACTGGGTTTCATGGAAACTGAATTTAAACAAATCTCTTGGTTCCTTAACCACTTAGAAGTAGCTGACAAGATATCTTGAAAGAAGTTTCTTTTTACCAGGGTGGCTTTCTTCAAGTTTATTGTAGCAGTGAACCAGATAGAGATTGAAAACACTTCATAGATGATGACAAACTGTGAAAATTATGATTACCTTGTAGTCACTGGTGAAATATTTTAGTGATATGACATTCCACAAAAATATCCAAATAGATAAAAATATTCTTACCTGCCATCATCTTGCCCACCTAAGGACAACAAATACTTGTCATTTGGCGAAATATCCAAAGCTTGAACTTTGACTTTGTGAAGTGTGAAGCGACAGTGTATGTCTTTTGTTTCATAATTCCATACAATTATATCTGCCTGTAAACAAGATAAAATATCTGTACACAAATAGGTATTAAAAAAGGTGAAACAAAAAGAAATTTTGTTATTTCAAAGGTTTTACAGAAGAATTAAAAAATTTTATGTATGATAAATAAAAGTTTATGTGAAAAATATAATTTTCTGCCCCCTTTGAATACCCAGTGTGAAGACATTTCTAACCAATGAGGTGTTCAAATGGGACATTTTTGATAAGCCTTGCTTTTGAGCCTGATCATGGTGACTACTATGTCTGGTTATGGGTAATTAAAAAAAAGGAATGTACTGGAAAAGAAGGATCAATTAGGACAGAATTTGAAACCTAAAGCAATTCTAAAATTAGTTTAGTGAGACAGCTGGCATGATTATAAAGGAAGACATCAGCCGGTTTAATCTCTATTCCTCATGACTTGGATTGGCATGAGTAGTCAGGAGAGATAAAGTCAGTAGAACAATTAACTTTTCAGCAGTGATTTGATAAACAAGAACACTGGACTCGAAAATACCAAGTAACCTGCAAATATCTCTGGGAACTTAAAACAGGCAATTTTGAACATGCTTGTCTGCAACTAACATGTAAGTGGACCAGGTTTCCCTCTATAATATTATGTGCACTCACTTGCTTCAATTGTAATTCTACAAAGCTGTACCAACTTCTGTAAGTTTTCCATAAAAAACAATCACTTAGCAGCTCCTTCCACTCCACAAGGGACACTCCTGTTTTATTGACCTATCAGCTCACTATGATGCAAGAAATTTGACAACACTTCATGAACTTCATTGACACATTACAATCTCTACCAAGAATTTTTATAACTTCATAGTAAGTCCCATTTTCATATAAACATTTTTTCTGCCTAGCCTAACTACTTAAAGTGCTCAAAAGAATATTGTGTGCAAACCTCTACATACATCTTCTTTTTCTTAAATATTATTGCAAATTTTTTCTGCTTCAATTTCACACTTCATATAAGTACTTTTTATTGTGCCCCTAAAGGAGTGTTAATTGGTAATTTTTTGGTATGTGTGAAATTCTCACAGATAAAAAATAAAAATCTTTTTAAGATGGAAAGCACTTAAGTCATGAAAAGAAAAAATATCAAATGCATCAATTGAACTGAAAATAAAAAACTTTAATGCCATTCTGTTTTAGGAAATGATTTGTTGAAGAGTTCTTGATGTGATTAGGATTTCTTTGGTCTACAGAATGGAAAATGTTATTTTTGAGCTTATTTCATTTAAAGATGACAGTTAACTTAATGAAAATATACAAGTTAACAGTCAATTAACATTATATTAAGGATTATCATGCAATAGATTAATGTTGGATTACTGTGAACATATTTATGCATCTTTACAAAACTTAGACTGCCTGCTGCCAATGTATACATGTTTTCCCTAGGATTTGTGCTATAAACTACATAGAACTTAGTGCCATTTCCAAGCTAGTGTAGATGTATAGTAGTATGCAATATGTTTTGTTTTCTGATATATTTTTTTATTATATTGTGTGTTGGATGTGTCATTTAGCATAGTCAGTACTGCAGATTCTCCAATCAAAACTCAAATAACGACAACCATGAGAAACTCAGTCAGTCAATCATGTGCCATGCATGATACATGCTTAGGTGATCATGTATCTTTCAATACATGACTGACAAGGCAAATTTTTTCCCGCAATAGGTTGCCATTTCTTTCTGTGGTAGACCAGTTGCCATCCAAGGCTGTAGAACCCGGTCTGTCCTGCTATTTACCCATAGGTAGGGGGAGAAGACGAGGATTCATATCTTTCCCAAGGGTATTACCATGTAAGTGAATGCAATGGATTCGACTAGAATTTGAACTTGACTCTTCGATTCCTCAATCCATTACTCCAGCATGCCTGATGAGAAACTAGAGTCTTTATATTAATTTCTAGTAAATGACAATTTTCTATTTTTGACAAAATAGGTCAGCACAGGTAGGCATCAATTCTATAACAACGAGAGCAGTTGAAATTATATAGATTATGGTGAAAAATTAAAGACAGCAGCATCAATTGCTCGGTTCCTACTTGTTGGTGAAGAATCTTATGAAGCCACACTTTTTAAAAGCAGCACTTTTTAGCTGGAGAGAATAACCAATTTGTTATAGAAAAACTGATAACTACTGACATTAAAAAAAGTTAATTCTTTGAATTTTTTATAATGTAATAGATATATGTATACATGTGTGTGTGTAAATGATGAGCTAAAACATTATGACTAAGAATACATGAAAAGAATGACAACTACTGTCTCATAACAACTGCATATGACATGGTCAGAGGTATATAGATAGATAAGCCTCATTTTGGTGCATTGAATGCTATAGTTGTGGTCAAGCTCAAAGATTCCATTAACTTTGATAAAGGACAAATTGTTATAGCAAGAAGACCATGTCAGAGCATTTCTGAAATGATACAGCTTGTGGGGTGCTCACCTTCAGTTGTATTGAGTGAGTATTGGAAGTGACTCAAAGAGGGGAAACATTGCTAACTACTGACAGCACATTGATTGGGCAAGACTTATTGGTATGAGATGTGAATGAAGGCTTTCTCAGCAAGTACAGGCCACCAAAAGATATACTGTAGCACAAATTACAGATTAGCTTTAATTAATTTCTGTTTGAATTTCTGAAATGAAGAATTTTTATTTACATTCTTTACAGCTAGACTAATGTCCACAACTTTGTTGTTATCATCACAATATGAAGTCAAACTGAACCAGGAGAAGTTCAATTTGCAATATAAATATAATGATAAGAATAGAAAAACATAGAAGACATGTGGCAAAAACAGAAGGCTCACCAAATTCAACTGGCATCAGCTCCAATGATCAGGTGTAACCTGTGTGGATGAATATCCCATGCAAGGGTCAGTCTTGCCAGACACCAAAGTCATAGACATGGAAATTGAGAAAAGATGAGTATAGCAAGAGAATGAAGTACTTAAAAATGAGGAATAGCTGACAATAATGCTAAACTGGGTGCTTATTTTGTATTTGTGAATTTTAAAGAAAAATCAGATCCTTTTGCCACAGTTCATATTGACTCTCCACACTTTTGTCTCAGGCAATGCCAGGGACTTCTACTGAAATGTAGTGTAATGTATAATTTAAATAACAAAAAATGTTTATTATTTATTATCTTTATACATGTGCTGGTATATCCACGCAATAAGAAAAACACTAACTAAATTCACTTTACTTAAAAAAGGGTTGAGAAATTCTCTGTCCTTGTTTTCATTATTACATATATTTTTATTATCAATTTAACTAGTTTCTTCATGGAGTAGTTTAAAAAAGTTACAATATAAATTAACAAGAAATGAAGAAACGTGTGTAGATTAATAATAAAAACATGTCAACTTTTCAACCTTCTTTCAATTATTTCTCTTGAGCAATGATATTAAAGGGAGTTAACTCCCTGTCACGTTTGGATATCAAATTAATAAAAAAAAAGCATGTTTGCATATATAATTTTGATATGTATGAAATAATTAACTCTCTTAATGTTTGGATAAAGTGTCATTTTCTGCTGCAATAAAAACCTGAAAGTGTATTCAATCCAATCCCAACACTTCCTGTTTTTTTAACCATTCTAAAACAGTTACTCAATCATTAAAAATGACCTCAATATTGCTTAACTTCAAACAAAAAGAGAGGAACATTAGTTTATGGCTGTACACTGATAAGTATTCTTCATTTGTGTGACTTATCAATCAGTTTCTCAGCAATCAGGCAAATGGAAGTGGAAACTTCCTCCATTTGTCATAACAAGTTTTTATTTAGGTCACTCACGTCCACTTTTGTTTTGCTTTACAAATAAAAACACTTGACCCAATCCATTATTGATTGCCTTTCTGTCCAAGCAGGGTGAGGTGTTTGGCCTGTTTGATAAAGATGTACAAGATTTGATTTAACCAACTCTATACAAAGATTATATTTGTTGGTAATCAATTATCCAGTGAAAAAAAACTGTGTTGTAAATTGATCTGTAAAAAAAAATATTTGGAAAATAATGATATAAATTTTAATATATTTTGTATATGTAATAATAGTAATATAATTCATAAATATTTAGTATGTTAGATAAGAAATTTTGAAATGAGAAAAACGTTTTTTTAAAAGAGAAAGCATAGAAATATTAATGTTTATGAAATCCATAAAGCAAATGAATAATGACTCAGCTATCTTTGTCTAATGGTTTGGGCAGGAATCTCCACATCTTCCAGACAAAGCTTTCTATCATCATGTCTTTTGGTGTCATTTTGACAGGCATGCCACTATTTTCTGTCAAGTTTATAGTCAGTTTCTATCTACTTATTACTTACAGGGTTTCAGAGAGTTATCATTTAGTGTTAGTCAAAAATGATACTCCTTGTTTTTGAAAAATTGAGGTTGCATTTGTTTAGGTAAGGGAGACTAATACAGTATATAGTTTCCACCCTCTTTTCTCCTATCAAACATCTGTGCCTGTCAAAATACTATAGGTAGGTCAGGCATAAGAATGGTTAGATTTATGTTTTTCACTGATTTTTCTTAGTGTGATACTGACATCAGCAGCTTTGAACTGTTCTAAGCAATGCTATTTTCAAAGTCACAACCAACTGTACCAATACAAATTCCCCATCTCTTTTAGACTGACCAGATTATTGCTTAACTAAAAGAAGAAAATGAGCAAACATGTATAAACGTGCATGGTGTGTCAAAAGAATGATTTTTTCCATGACATTGCTTTTATTTTAACTACGTTCACTCTTAGGCAATGTTTATTGTTTTAAAAAGTCATGGTTAGAATTGTAATAAAACCTAAACATATGAAAGTGAATTTATACATTTTCTTTGTTATTGTCAATTAATTCAAACTTTATAAAATGGTCAGTAATAAGGATTTACTTGTAGTTGGTTCACATATTTTAAAAATCGAGTAAATTATTATAAATTTATGAATAAAAGTTGTTTTCACATTTATTTCTTTATAAATTGGTAAATGATAAACATTGCATTGCATTAGTTCTAATTGTATTAATTTTTAATTTTTTGAATATTGTAAATATGAAATTATTCTTGTAAATAAACAATCTAATAAATAAATAGTGTTTAATATTTTGTTGTAAATTCTCAAGAAACACCGCTGAAGGGAGTTAAAAAAGCAGTGTGATTGAAAAAACTGTCCTTTTGACACTTCATCTTATTGCGGAAATGTTTGCCAGAAAATGTATGTAGAGTATAATATTAATACCAAACAATAAATTCTCAGGTGAATGAATTTAAAAAAATATTAAATAAAAGAACCAGGTTCTGAGATTGGGGATGTGGAGACATACCTTGAAGCCCATGTAGATGATTTGTCCTGAGGCCAAGTAGCGTCCAGATTTGGACACAGTGAGACAACTAACATCATTGTGGTGGCCAGACAGAAGAGTCTGCTCCTGTGTATTAATATTCTCTACGATGACCACATAGCCAAGATGGTAGACAATGTGTTCACGGTCAGGATGGACAATTAAACCACTTGGGCTCCGTCCTATATAAAGAGACAAAGAAAAATTGTATAAATGGTTCACATTTGTGTGACATCATGTTGCAGAATGTGTAGGCTAGACAAAAATGGCAAAATGATAATTGTTGTGAATGTAATTCCAGACTCTACCTTAATGATCAGAACTTTGATGACCCAAAGTAGGGGTGGTTTAAACCCCATGGGCATGAAATCCTAATGTTGATTGATTGTCTTTTATATATGACTGAAAAATACATGTAAACAAGCAGCTTGGTAATAGCATTAGAGGAGTGAAGAGCTTTGATGTTCATCCAAGCCTTCCTTTTCCTGGGAGAGGAAGGCTTGGAAGAGGAAGGCTTGGATGAACATCAGAGCTCTTCACTCCTCTAATGCCATTACTGAGCTGTGATTTCAACAGTGAAACAAGCCATGCATGTGGAGAAGATAGGTAGCTGATCAATTTGTTAATATCCTTTCTCTCTATCTCTATCTCCTTCTACCTTTTGTTTGCTTCAAGAAATGATATCTACTATGTCCTCACTAAAATAAAGTGAGTAAGAAACATGGAAATTTGTTTGATGTTGATTCAGTCTATTGATGCAGCATTGTAATCCCTACTGAGGAATTGCCAATTGATTTCTAGACTCTCAGCATGCAATATAACAATCAAATTGATTTGATTTGGCAAGTCAAGTTGAGTTTATTGTGAGTCACAAATAATGAAGATCCATTTGAACTCAGCTCTCCACTTCCTCAAACTGAGGCATTATCCATTACTCTACCATGCCTCCATGTTCCACTTTGTTGTGCTACTGGTGAGGAAGAAAATATATATTTTACTATTAACATAAATTATAGCTCTGCTATTATACATCAAGTACTATTTTATTAGCATCAGTAGTCAATGTGCAATATTTCATATTTATATTTATATATATATTTAATATATTTTCCGTTTATACATTATTTTTATAGATACAATTTATTTAAATGCTCTGTTTTTTTATATTAAATACTATTAATTACATTTACTGGCCTGAATGTTCTACTGTTTAATTAAAAAGTCAGAGCATTTACTTAAATAAATTGTATCTATAAAAATAATGTATAAACAGAAAATATATGACATAATTATCAGGCTTAATCCATTTCATGATATATATATATATATATATATATATATATATATATATATATATATCAAGGCAAGTGATGATAAACAAAAGAAAAATGTTGTGTACAGTTGTCACTAATTTGTCTCAGTTAATCGGTTCTAAAACCCACCACGATAAGTGAGTTTCTGTGAAGTAGGATTTTTTAATTATAAATTGAATATTTTTGTAGTTAGAGCATAGAAAATCTGTTTATGACCTTCTAAATAAAGTTTTTAACATTATAAGAGCTCTCTAGACATGAAATAACATTTCTGTAGTCACTTTTGCACTTATATTACTCAATATATTAGACAAAATAAGAGAAAATAAGGCATATTAGATATTACAAATATTATTATTGTACATTAAAATCACAAAGTTCCTATGTGTACATCACGTCATCATTGAACAGTTGCATTATTTTCCTAGGTTAGTGTGAACCTAGGAAAATAATACAACTTGTTTGATGATGAAGCAATAAAGAGATGTACTGCACAACAAAGGTTACTGCTCCTCTAAGTCATTTACATAAACCTTCTTTATATCTTGTAAGGACTAATAAGCATAATGTGATGTTTTCTTTTCAGCACATTCTTGAAATCAATTATCCTATTTGCATAAATATCTTTGTATGTAGTTTTGATTTTGTTGCCAAAAATAAAATTAGGCTTTATTTTAATCAAATACTAGTACCTCCTTGTTTTATACTCAGTTTGTTGTCAACATACTATCTTCTGAACAGTTTTGTTTGTGGACTCCTTTGTACCAACACACAGCCAAACACATTGCCAACAAGTGTTCCACAGCACACCTGCAACAATAGCCAATCAGTGAACAACATGTTCTGATTGCCTTGGTTTCACCACACCCAATTTTTGAATAATACAGGCCTGGAAAAAAGTTTTTGCCTACACACAAGGAGTGGTTGAGTAGCTACAGCCGGTGTTGAAGAATTTGCGGGGGTGCTTGAATACATAGGCCTATATTAATTTTAATACAGGGGTGTATAATTGACTCAGACAACCGAGCGTGCACTGTATTATTTTCACTGTCTTGATCAACTGAAGGAGCAGCTGTGTGTCTGCTCCTGAGATCTGGGCAAGAACTTTATTCCAACCCTGTAGTAGACTGTAGTCAACCACAAATCAGTGAGGAACCGCAATGTGATGTGAAAAAACTGAGATAGAGTGAAGCTGTGAAAGTCAAGGTATGAAGTGGTGAGGGAATGACTGTATTTACATGAAATTCAAAAATTTTAAATGTTAATTTTGTTTGTCATCACTTAATTTGATAAAGTCGAATGATGAAATGCATCGACAAGGACTAAGTACTATTTTCTGATTGTCTATTCTATTCAATTTGTTTTCTCTACAGATATGTTCTGAGAACATTCACACACACACACACACACACGATAAAAATATAGTTTTAAGGAATGCTACATTTATGGGTTAGAGTGCTCTGTATCAGTGATAGAGAATAATTAATTTTTCTTCATGTTCAATGTGAGATATTTTCGATATGAGACATTCTCTGTTTGTGTGTTGGTAATCCGAATTTCTTTCTAGAAAGATCGAAAATATCTCATATTGAACATGAAGAAAAATTAATTATTTTTAATAATATCATTTTTAATAATATGTAGAAATCTCCACTTTTATCTGAAGACGGTCGCGAGACCAGAAACACGTGTCGTAGTAAAATTATGTAAAACAAAGCATAATATTTTTTCTAAATAAATCCACATTACAACCAAAAACGTTTGCGGCACCTCTCTTCTCTTCTATTTAATATACATACTTTTCTCTCGTTGGAACCACTACAACATATTTCTTTTATATATATATATATATATATAAATTTTAAATTTAAGTTTATTTTCATAAAGAGTTTTCCACATCAAGGAATCAGACAGAGATCTGGTTTTTGCTAATAATACTATTTCCCCTGGAAAATACCTCATCTACAAAAACATCTGTTGGTGAGTAATTCCCATTTCTCTGTTTGTTCCTTGGACCGTTGATGAAGGACACAGGCGGCATGTCCAAAAATTCTGAACATAAAACCTTTCTCTCTGTGCTAAATTTCTGTCATATGGCTAATATTTAATAAATGTTTATTCACTTGTCATTGTTTTATTAACCAACCTATATATATATATATATATATATATATATATATATATATATGCAAGCTTCATCAAATATGACAGACAAGGTGCTTTGATTAAGTTTGTTATATAATTTATCATATGATCTTATAATTTTTTTCTTTTCAGTAGATAAATTATACAAAAACTGTTCAAATTTTTTATTTTTCCAAGAGCTTTTGGCTATACATTTAGCCATTTTCAATGATGGAATATATTTACTGTTAACTGGAAATGGATTGTTGTATGTATGTATTTAGTATTATAGAATGTTTTATTTTCAAAACACAATCAACATATTGTGTCCATGTTGAAAAGAAAAAAATTATAAGATCATACGATAAATTATATAAAAAAACTTAATCAAAGTACCTTGTCTGTCATATTTAATGAAGCTTGCATGAAAGAAGGTTTTCTGCCTGAATGCACAATATATATATATATATATATATATGAACACGAACACACACACACTAGTTTAGCTGTGGCATCAACAGAGGGCATCAATTTTAAGCTTTTGATATTTAATAAATACAAAGAAATGACAAAAGTTGTATCCATTTATCTATGAGCTAAAAATAATTTCAGGCATAAATAAATTACAGATTTTTATTTAAAATAACAGAAAATACTATTTCCCCTATGCTATCAGAAGATTCTAATACACAGAGAGAGACAACTTTAATGAAGTGTTTGTTTTCTTTGTTATGGTTTTTTTGTGGCCTTGGTGAGAACATGTTTGGATGAGGCTAATTGTCTCTACTTAGATTTGTGTATATAAATGATAATGTTTGTATATCTGCATTGAAGTGGTAGCTTACATATTGCTTTAACACATACTCAATCTTTAAGAAAATACAACTTATTTTTCATTGGCATTTTCAAAATGCCAATGAAAAGTAAGTTTTATATTTTACTCAGAATTACTTTTTCTCAAAATTAAAAAGGAATTTTTTTCTTTTTAAAAGCACGTTACTTACCATTAAAACCGATTATCGATTCGAGTTTCAACTGTGGAAACTCGTGCGACTTCCTTTCACTCATTGTCCAACGATTTTATAAATTAAAATGATCAACTAAAAATCAACAACAAACAAGTGTTTGAAATTTGGTTTCCTTAGCAACCGCTTCACGATGGAGACGTTTATACAAGAGAAACAACTCTACACTCAGCTACGACATTATTATTTCCCCTGATTTATCTTTTTTTTTTTTCTAATTTCATTCTCCATTACAATTCCCCGTTAAAATTATTCAGAATGAGAACAAAACAAAACCCTTTTTTCAAATAAATTAAATGTAAATCAAATACAGCAGTCCAAATGATAGTAGGTCATTACACATTAATTTACAATACATTCTCTTCTTAATTCTTTAATAAAAATAGTGCGTAATCAATGATTGCCAGAATATAATTTTTATTTTTTAATTTCTATAATTCCCAATCACTGACGTAATGATCTTTTTTCTGTATTTCAATTAATTTCTAGAGTAAAAATTATTTACAATTCCTTTCTAAAGTAAAATTATTACCTATGCATATTTTTACTTTTTTTTTTTTTTTTTTTACACCCGCCGCAGTCGCGTAGCGCCTTTTCTTTCTTTCTTTCTTTTTAGGCGCAACATCATAAAATTAGTCGGGGACGAGACGGATTAAAAATGATAGCTAAATTTTTAATGTTTCAAATCAAATATAGTTCATTTCGAAATAATCTTTTTGCCTAAAGTTTTTTCTTCTTAAAAGTGGTTGTTAAATGTATGGGTGTTTTGAAATGAATCAATTCAAATCAAATTTTTATTTATGCAGGAATCAGATTCACAGAGGATATAAAAGACGTCGTCAATAATATTTTCAATAAACAGAAACTACAATGAAGTGAAGTTTAGTTTTAAAAGCTCTTACGATGAGTTTTTGTTTCTGTTTAATTGAGAAAGTGTTAAAAAAAAAAAAATTAAAACTTCATTCACACTGGGGCACAAGGGGTGTTTGTACCCACACCAGTGTATATTATTGTGGTAGTGAATTTGAATTTCCATTTATGATGTGTGTGTGTCTCTATGCGTGTGAGAAAAGAAGGTCGTAGCAGAATTTATCTTACTACGAGGGGGTTGTCAAAATCTGTCGCTCAGCAACATGAAAATAGACGAAACCGAAAGATACGAAAAGTTGAGTAAAAATCAGAAGAAATGAATGTTGCATGACTTCAAAGAAAAACATTCGACAGCTGATTAAATTGTTTGCGACTAGAATGGATGATTTTTTTTTTGTTTTATTTACTAAGAATAATTTGTTAATTAGAATTTTAATTAAAAAATAATGCATTATATATTCTGCGCTTTTTCATTGGATAAAAATAAAATATCAATGAAAGAATTCCGAGTTGGAAAACAGATTTTTTTCCTTTTTATAGTCTGTTACTTTTTTTTAGTTAGTGACATGTCTGGATGGCAAGTTTAACGTTTGCTACAAGTCTTCCGATTAATTAGAAAAGAAAGAGGAGATTCGAATTTTCGTTGATCTATATAATTTTGTTTTTCGATAAAAAATATGATTCAGCGGAAATTCTTACAATAACTTGATTTTGTCCGTAACCCTCGCACAGAATTCTTAAACTGGAGATTTCTGAATTAGATATCTGACTGCCCACTTTAGAGAAACGGGGATGTTTTATTTTGTTTTTTCTTACCAAAAGCATAGAGAAACAACAACAACAAAAAAAAAAAAGGATTCCAAAAACAGCCCCATAATGTTTTAGCTCTCAATCTAAAACATCATTTTATTTTTACGAATCTGCAGCAGTTATTTCCAACAGAGGTGTGATTTTTGAACCAACATTTCACTTGTAAACAAACCTTGATTCAGTCTGTAGACCCATTATCAAAAAATAAAAAAAAAACTAAGCAATAATTTAAAGTTTAAAAGCGAATCCTGATCTGAAACGTTTTTTCAAAAGATTTGTGGACTAAATGGGAATTATTTTCACTCGGCTGTTCTTGTAAAAGCTGGCAGACTCGGCAGAAAACCAGCGCTTAGTTAACCAGGAGAACATTAGTTACGAACCGAGAGATCTGGATAAAAATTTTAAAACCAGGAATCTCTTGACACGCTCAGTAGAGTTGATAGGTTTGCTTGCATTTATTTTAATAACTATTATTAACAATCATTTTTCCTAATTTTCAATTAAAAATGTATACTCAGGAGGCCAATATTTACTAAAAAAACAAACTTTCGGTTAAACATTGTACAATTTCTGTATTTAATCATCAATACTTTCCATACTGGCAGAAGTGTTTAATTTCTTATTGCCTAAAATAGCTCAAGCTAAGAAAAGTGGGAAGTGTAATGATAATGTCAATTGGCATTGATAAAAAAATGCTTTCCTATTGAGTTCACTTGTAGTCACCACTGTAATTTTATTTTTACTCCCTCATGACAACAATTATTTGATGTTTGTTTAACTGTCTGTAAAAATTGCATCTACATCCAGTTGATCAATAATGCAGTTTAAGTTTGATTTGATTGATTGATTTTTTAAAGCCTATCAACCCTTTACATTTTAACATTCTGCTACCACTTTCTTATCAATGTTGAATTTTGTACAATTTTGTGCAAAAAAGAGGATCAGAAGCTTACCCAGCTTCATACAGATTTTCAGGAAATATCAGCTTCTAATTGGTCAATAAACACACAAGTGGGCGTTGCAATCCACCCATGTACAAATATTTTTCCAGCATGTGACCAAGTCAAGTTTTCCCGCCAATTTTTCTGTGATCCTGTCATGTGATTACATTAATTATAAATAGCAGACACAAGCCTGCTCACTTTTCCTCTTCTCTTTTCCTGCGAAGATGTGATCTTGAGGGATCCCATCCCGATCATGTGCGGTCAGACATTAAAAGCATATTCACGCATGTACCTACGTACGAAATTTTCTAAACTACATTACAAACATACAAAGCATTTCCAAACAAGCAACGAGATTTTTTCTCTTTGAAATACTTTTCTAAAGCTCAAAGTTTATTCAGCATTTCTCAGCTTTATAATTCATTCAACTTTCGTGAGCTCAGATAAAAATATTTCAATCTCATTCAGACAAAGGGACATAACACCAACAAAATAATAACCTCTACGCATGTACATCATTGCACAAAAATAAATATAAATTTTGTTGTTATAAAAACCGCTTTTGTTCCTTCTTGTGTTTCATATTTTGTGGTATTTTACGTTAAATATATATCATGTGGTCATGTTAATAATAGACATCTACAAATGGTCGCATATATATTAACATACTACAACAACATGTTATTTAAAGCCAGAAAATATTTTTTTGATTGTAAGAATTTTTTTTTGAGATAATAATTTAATGATACAAGTTTTACTAATTAACCCATAGGTGGGGAAAGAAGAGATGGATTCATACATTTCCCAAGGGTATTTGCACATAAGTGAATATAATGAACCCAATGAGAATTGGAACACAGCTCTCTGATTAACGATTCTGATCCATTATCCATTACAGATATAAAATGTATTCAGTAGATACACAAAAATGGAAAGGGGTGTAAGACAATGATGTGTCTTCTCACCAGACTTGTTCAACCATTACCAGGATACATTATTGGTGGCAAACAATTTTAACAATATGAGATATGAAGGTGAAACAGTGTTAATAGCAGACATAAAAAGGAATTTACAGGAACTCCTAGAGAAGGTAGACTTATTCACAGGTTCATTCAAACAAACAATATGGCTTTCACATCCAGATTCATTCTACATTCATTTCTAGAGAAGGTGGTAAAAGAAAGTGAGAAGAAAGAGCTAAACATCAATTGTAAGAAGACAGAATGCATGGTTGTCAGCAAAAGTAACATGCCATGATATGAACTGGAGACACCAAAATCAAGCAAGTACGGAAATTTAAATATCTCAGAAGTGTTTTAACAGAAATGGAAAATGTGACACCAAAATTTGAAGGCACATTGGAATAGTGAACAATGCTTTCCAATAGCTAAGCAAAGTATTAAGAAACAGGAAAAATTCCTTAGAACAAAGAAAAAAGTAATGACCTGCTATGTAATATCAATTCTCTTATATGGCAGTGAATGATGAACAATTTCTTCAGAGATGAAGAAGAGAATTGAGGCAACAAAAATGTGGTTTTACAGAAGGATGCTGAGAATATCATGGACAGAACATGTGAGTAATGAGGAAGTTTTAAGGAAAATGTAAACACAAAGGACACTTTTACTTGGAATCAAAATGAGAACTAGTGTAAATGGTTGGCAGAATGGGGATTAAGGATGGATAGCAGAAAAGAAACTTTACTAAGAGTTACAAAGGACAGGAAGTTGTGGAGAGACACAATTGCCTATATCTTGAAAGAACATGGCACATAGAAGAAGACTGTCAGTTGAAGATTTCCTTTGATTGCAGCATGTATTACATTTTCAGGAGTTCTGCTTCCAGAATGTGAATTCCTTTCAATAGATTCCTGGTCAAGTTTGAAATTTTAGTACCAACATTTTATCCGGGCTTCATTTGTCTGATCATCTCCAAAATCAATCTTAATCATTAAAATAATTTCCATGAATGTATGACCAATTTTCCAACAAGACTGTTTGCTGTGAATGTGACAGTCATAAAATATGCAATCTTATTCAGTGATATGTTACCCTGCTTGAGTAACTCCACAGGATGCATGTACAGTAAATACTTTTAGGATTGGTTGTTAAGTTATATCAATGTCGATTCTCCAGATATTCAAAATAGCAAAGTACTTTCTGGATAAACCTCATCATGATTTGATTTCTATCTATTTCAAATGGCTTACCCAACTATGGAGCTTCATTCAGCAAGAAATCTGCAGCAAAAATCTTCAAAAGCGACTTTTAAGATATTTAATCCTTCATAATAAGTAGGCATCTGTCTTTCTTGAGAGACTATGGAGTTTATTAGCTATCCCTGTTGCAGATGCATGCTCAGACACATTTTTTATTTTCTTCAACACCTACAGAGCTAACTTGTGGTTTATACTGCAACT